TCAATTTTCAATTATCAATTTTCAATTATCAATTTTCAATTATCAATTTTCAATTATCAATTTTCAATTATCAATTTTCAATTATCAATTTCAATTATCAATTTCAATTATCAATTTCAATTATCAATAATGATTACTTATTTCAGAACTCAAAATGAAAAAAAACGCCATACTGATATGAACTTTGATATGAACTTTGATACGAATTCACTCTTTGATACAACCACTGATACGTTTTCTGATTCAAACACTATGAACTTTGTTACGATCTTTAATGTGGGCTATTCTTTGATCTCTAAATTTGAATCTATCCGAAATACATGAATGTAAGTTATAATAATAAAATAAATAAATATATATATATATAATATGTATATATATATTAATAAATATTTGAGATTTTTGTATTGATTTTGTACTCCAAGAAAAGTTAAACACCCGCGCGCCTTTGATTTGCCAAACAATCGAAGATAGATAAGACTATATCGTGTTTCAACGTGTTTATCAGGATCCACAAGAAATATTATATTATAAAAAAAAAAATTTTTATTTCTACATACAATTACAGTGATTACAATTACAGTGATAAAGGATAAAGGATAAAGGTGATAGCCACCAAAATAACAAAGAAATAAAAAAGAAAGTGATAATTAAATAACATTATCAGATCGAAGAAACCAAAGAATTATCCTAATTTCAAAAATATCACAAAAAAAAAAAAACGATGATAAAAGGAGTCAGAATAATAGATAAATTAAATTAAAATGTTTCAACATTATGCATTGCGTACATGAAAAGACGAACAATTTCCGCGAACCTATCAGTGATTATTACTCCTTGGCAACATGATTTTATAATTGGTCAAAGGCATCATTACCAGTAATTACCAGTAATTACCGGTAATAAATCATATATAATTATTATATATATACTTTGAAATACAGTCAATATACAATCAATATACTGATATATATAATATCTAATACTATTACACATCTCTACTATATCTTTTTGTCATTCTTGATATTCCGGAAATTCTCGTTTTTAATGATATAACTAACCAATAAAAATATATTATATTTGAAATATATATTATTATGTTGAATTGACAAAGAATTCATCGAGTTTCATCTTGTTCTTATCCGATTGGTTACCCTTTTGAAGATCCATACTAGTAATATTTCGTAGTAGTGTCAGGTATTAATAAAGCTTTGATTGTTCATAGAAGACAAATGTTAATCCCTAACTTTCTTAAGTTATTTATTAAGTATTAGAGGTTAGAAGTAAAAAAAATCGAGGTAAGTACGTAAATAAGTAGGTACGACATATGTACGTAATAGGTATACGTATGTAATAGATCGCTCTCGGAACTTTTCTTAGTGATTTGAATTTTAGGTTAAAAATTTTGCGGATCTATTTAGAATCTCGAATCATTTTGTCGATAATCTAAGCTCGTGCTAATACGTCATCTAGAAGTTAGAAAAACTTTTCCAGAATTTTTTATGACGTATTCGATATCGTCAGTCTTTATTTGATTCATTTCATTTTTTTTTTTTTTACAGAATAAACAAAGATGCATAATATATTATTTGTTTGCTTACCTAATCCATACCAGTACATTGGAGATCAACACTGATGCTAAATATTAGTGAATTTTTTCTTTGAATCTGTCTTACCACAAATTGGTTGTAAAGGAATTCATGAATTTAGACATCAAAGATGAAAAGAAAATATTGAGAAATCGTACGTAATTTTCTGTTTGTTTGACGGATTAATATTAGGTTATCTGATGGATTAATATTAGGTTGTCTTACGAATTAATATTAGGTTGTCTTACGGATTAATATTAGGTTGTCGTACGGATTAATATTAGGTTGTCTTACGAATTAACGGATTAATATTAGGTTGACCATTGCTTTACCTTATTGTCTTTCTTTATCTGTATTACTAATATTTTTGATTGTTTTACAGATTGGTAGAATTAGAATCCCGTGGTTGAAGTGATACTGCATAGGTGGTAGAATGCGAGTTTGTTATTATTCATTGTTAATGATGGTATAATAATTACAAGGTCTCTATAAACTAATTTTAGCTTGTTTATTTGCTTTATTCGCGATATTTCACGTAAAATAATAAATAATAATAATAATCATATAATAATAAAATTTATAACATTAATTATTAATAATGCAAAATGCAAGCTAATGTAAAAGTTTAAAACATTTGTATCATTATTCATTATCTGATTGTCTAATCATATAGTTCATCTCGAAATAATAACGAATTAATGCTTTTTTGTCATCATTTTTTCAAACATATGTATGAAAAAAAATTTAATCATTGAATAATTTCTTTTTTGTTATTATGTTTCGGAAACATATACAAATATAGATCAAGATTTATTCGCTACTCTGTAACAAACACAATTTCCATTTGTGATTAATTTGATTGAAGATCTCACTTGATAAAAAAAAAAAAGTTATCCAACACTTAAAGTTCAATCATAATTAGATCTATTGGTAATTATTGGTAATTCTAATGATTTCAATTATTCTTTTTTTTTTTTACTTCACTTCTCTTGAATATTTCCATAAATCGACAAAAATTATCGACTATTATATTATTTATTAGTTGGTTGACATATGATAATTTTTTTTAAGAGTTATCCCTGCGTACATATGCAATACATAACTCGAGTACCTAAATAAGCTCGAGAAAGGAAGTTCGAATGAAAATAAAGGTCATCTTTTCCTTAAACATTTCCTGGATATATTCATATTCATATCCTATTTGATTTTATATACTTAATTTTGTATACTTAATTTTATATACGTTCATTCAATTACCTCTTTTTTTGTTGAATAGATTATTAAAAGGTGATGTATGAAGAACAGAGTACATTAAAAGATGTTTGTTAATCAAAATAATTTGACAAAATTTATGCTTTTATTTGTTCCAACCTTATTTGAATAGAAGGAGTAAAGGAATGATGCGTATTATTTTTAAGCTTTAATAATTTAATTGATTCATCATCAAATATTGCTCTCTCTTTTTTTTTTTTTTGTTTTTCCTCGGTAAAATTTATAATGCAGAATTGTTTCTTTCACATGATTCTGCAAACTTTTCTCTCACCATTGTTTCTTTTTGATAGTCGAATGTGTAACTGTAATTTAACCTATAATAATTCTGTAATCCTGTCATTTTACTAGCCTATCATTTGTTTGTCTGCCATTTTGTTTGTCTGTTATTTTGTTTTTCTGTTTAGCCTATCATTTTGTTTGCCTGTCATTTTATTATCCTGTTATTTTATGCCATTTGTTATCCTGTCAAGTTATCCTGTCATGTGAGTAGATATTACCAGTAGATCGTGCGATAATATTGTATGTATCTGAAAGAATCATATGGGAATAATCTAAAATGATATAAATGATATAAAGATATAAATGATATAAATGATATAAATAATATAAATGATATAAATGATATAAATGATGTGAATGATGATGTAAATTGATGTAAATGATGTGAAATAATCAATATTTCAATACTTCAATATCTTAATAAATACATCTATACCTCAATAAACATTTCAATATCAATAAATACTTCAATATCTTAGATAAATATCCTGATACTGTACATATCTTACATTACATACAGTATCATATCGATACTTCGATACCTCAATATTTTTTCCGAAAATTTTTAACTCCGAAAATCTCCGAGAATGTATAAATATGTGATATAATATTACAAAAATAAAAAAGAAATATATGAATATGTATTACGAAAAGCACACGGAAAGTACACGTTATTCATGTATGTACATCATGCGAGGAGATTTTTAACGAAATACGTACACAAAGTGGTCTTCTCATTTTCATAATTAGGTAACAATCATAACAATTGTAATAAATTTGTGATATTTTAAAAATTTACTTAACTTCAAATTCGGACGCTCTGATAAAAGCTTATATTTTTATAAATGCTCACGTTGTATGTACTGTACCCCGATCCTGTTGGTCACGTTTAAAAAAAATAATTTGCGTCAATCTTCACAATCAAATGTGGCTGTCATTTCCTTTCTTGATTTTTTTTTGCAGGTCATATGAATTTATTAAATAAGTTATGATTATGTGTAATGTGTAATGTGTATATGTATATATATACATCTATATATATATATATATATATATATATATTATATATCATCTTATTTTATATCATTTTATATCATATTTTTCTTATCATCTCTTTGATCAATCAATTGATTTATTATTTATATTTCACAATATTTCCACAATATTTCACATTTATGTATTACAAAAAAAAAAAAAAAAAAATTCATGTATCGTTATGATTATAATTATAATAATGGTTATAAAAAAAAAGTTATCCTGAAACGAAGTTCCATATGTGTATTATACAACTACTTCTTATTTTGTCTAAGATTTACATTTATGAACATAATCATATTGTTGACCTCTCTCACGACCCGACATCTCCCAACAACATCTCCAACATCTCCCAACATCAACGCCACTCACGTAACGGTCACATAAAACAAAGAACATGTTTCCTGCATGTTCTACATGTTCTACATGTGTTATGTGTTATATAATTCGATAGTTTGTTGTTAGCATTTATGTATTAGGTGTTACTTTGTATCCCAAATAATATGGGTTGTTATTTTGTCAAAATACTCTCGAAAGGAATAATTTTTTTTTATAGTTTCAATATTTATTTTTTTCTTTTCAATTCTTTTATTTTTAGTCTTGGCAATTCTATTACCGGTTTTTTTTATAAGGAGAGTATGCATGATCATGCGAATGTGATTACGTGTTCATTTAAAGAAAAAAAAACTTTGTATGCGATCACTACTATATTAGTTTACTTACATATACGCCATATCGAAATTATTAAGGATGTGTTATGACGAATTCGGCGGTGGTTTGTTATGCTTGAATGATATTATTAATTACGGAATTTTCAAATGATTATTTATTCATTTTGTGTTCAAAATTTATTATAAATTTTTTATTTCCTTGAATTTTTTATTATGTTTATTTAATTTTGCTTCATTTGAACATCATTGATTTTTTGCAAAGGATCATTTTTGCATGTATTCTCCTAACGCCACCATCTTGAATTTCGTAAAAGACGCGTATCTTGAAGAAAAAAAAAAAGAACAGATGATTATTTTTATTAAAAAAAAATGCCGAATGATCATTATTTGTTATCATTATGAATTGACAAATTTAGATTTCCGCCTGATGGTCATTAGGTTGATTTATCGGTGATAACGAGATCCCTAGTGTAATTCA